AATCCTCTACACACCAAAGGCGATAGCCTTTAACACCTGCTGCATACCCCAAGAATATAGCCTTCTTGGCCCTCGCATCGAGCTTTTCCTCGTTAACATGATAGTAGGCTGTGCATCCGAATGTTCTGAGTTTCTCATAATCTACATGTTCTCCTGTCAATACCCTGTAAGATATAGCTCCATCTAACCTTGAATATGGAGACCGGTTCACAATGTAGCAAGCATTTGCAATCGACTCTGCCCACCATTCTCTATCCAAACCAGCATAGGATCGCATACACATCGATTTCTCTCGAAATGTGCGATTCAGTCTTTCCACGACCCCATTCTGTTGCGGTGTATTTCTTACTGTCCAGTGTCTCACAATGCCTTCCTTACCACAGAACTCCTTGAAAGCACCATCTGTATACTCAGTGCCGTTATTAGATCGCATTGTCTTCAATTTCTTTCCTGTTCTGTTTTCAACCATTGCTTTCCACTTCTTGAAAGTGTCGAATACTTTATTCTTATACTTCAAAAAATAAATCCAAGCATATCTAGAATAATCATCAACAAATGTAACAAAATACCAGGAACTGCCTTTGGAAGTGAAAGAAGCCGGACCCCATACATCCGTGTGCACATAGTCAAGAATGCCTCTGCTTCTATGTTTGCTTGGCTGGAACTGAACTCGATGTGCTTTACCGTACACACAATGCTCGCAAAAATCCATGCAAAGCTTCTTCAAGTTCTTTAGCAAACCTTTCTTGACTAGCAAATCTAGCCCCTTTTCAGACATATGCCCAAGCCTCCTATGCCATAGCCGAGTGCACTCACATGGATCTCCACCACTTCCACTTGTTCTAACTGCTACATCTTCAGTAACTGTAGTACCCTGAAGAGCATAGAGATTGACTTCACGAATACCCTTCATCACAATCAAAGAACCACGAACAACCTTCTTTACTCCATTCCATGTTACAATCTTGCAACCACCGGAGTCTAAGGCACCAACAGAGATAAGGTTCTTGCGCAAATCAGGAACATGTCTAACATCCATCAATGTTCTAACCACTCCATCATGCATCTTGATTCTAATTGAACCGAGCCCCTCCGTTTTACAAGAATGGTTATTACCCATCAACACGGTTCCACCATCAGTGCTTCTATAGGTAGTAAATCACTTCCTATTTGGACACATATGGTAAGAGCATCCAGAGTCAAGAATCCACTTACCAGAGGTTTCTTCATCACAAGAGATGGTGTAGCACTCATCGCTTTCCCCTCTTTCCGAGGCATAGCTTACCTCTTGCTTGACTTGTACCTTCCCGTTGTTGTTGTTCTTATTGTTCTTCTTCCAACCCTTTTTGTTAGGACAATTCGCCTTGAAATGTCCAAGCTCGCTGCATTTGAAACAAGACCTTTCCGCAAGAGGTCTAGAACTCGATCTAGATTTTTCTCTATTGCCCTTTGGTCGCACATTGCTTCTACCCCTTACAAACAATCCTTGAGCTTGCTCCTTGTTATCAATGGTAGACATGCCACTAGTTTCAATCTTTCGAAGATCATCCGCTAGAAGTGACGTTCTAGTGTCCTCCATCACAAGTTTATCACCCACAAGCATCAATGTTTATACTTGGTTCTCGTAGGACTTTGGCAATGAAAGAAGTAGTAGAAGTGCTTGATCCACATCATCTACATCCACATCAATGTCCTTCAAGTCCGATATGATCCTATCAAACTTGTTGACGTACTCCCGGATTGGTATAGCTTCATCCATCTTGCAAGTATACAATTTGGACTTCAAATAGATCCGATTTGTTAGAGTCTTCGTCATGAAGTTCGCTTCCAACTTTGTCCACACCTCCGCCGCCGTTACCTCACTATCAATCAAGAAAGCAACATCTCTTTCAAGGCAAAGAATGATAGACGCCCGTGCCTCAAGATCTAGCTCTTCCCAATCCTCGTCCGACATATCAACGTGCTTCTTCTCCTTTCTCGCCAATGCCTTGTGCAACTTTTGAGAAATCAACAAATTTTTTATTTGCATTCTCCAATATGAAAAATCATTCTTCCCATTGAATTTCTCTATCTCATACTTCCCAATTTTCACCATTCCTCTAGAAGACATGATTTATTCACTTGTTTACCAAAAATAAACCACAAAAGTTCACTTGGGAATTTTCACAAACACCTTGTGCACAACAAAGTTCAATCAACTCACCACAAAATCGAAGCTTAACCACCTTGATTTAGGAAGAAGATCTGATACCAAATTGTTGGGTAAACACCTCCCAAAGATAGCCCAAAGATCAAACAAAGTTGACAATGCGAAAATTTCCAAACCACTTCAAGAACAAGAAATTGAGGAAGAAATGATTTCACATCTAGACTATGCTGTGAAAACTGTCTTAGTAGAATTCCAGGACAGTATGGATGTATACCATCCAAAAAGAAAGAAAAGAAGAGAAAATCTTTTAAAAAGAAAAATTATATTTTTAAAAGATATAAAAAATACCATATAAAGAAAAGATTTTCAAACGAAGAAATTTTTTTAAAAAATCCCAGGGAAGGGAGAAATATGAAAAACAAAAACAAAAATCAATGGATAAAAAGAAATTTTGTCCACAAAAGAAGAAAAATTACAGATGTTGGCTCTGCAATGAATCTGGACATTATGCTAATGAGTGTCCAGCAAGATAAGGAAATGAAGAAAAGATAAAATTCCTAAATACTTTTCAAAATAAAGGCTTCTATCCAGCAGAAGATCCTAGTGATACAGAATCATTGTATTACTTAACTATTAAATCTGAATATTTAGAATCAGAAATATCTGAAGATGAGTAATAAAAATATTACAAATCCTAATTCTATCTATATACCTATACAACTAAGTTTGGAAGGATATAGAAAAATTAATATTCATGCTTATGTTGATACTAGTGCTTCAGTATGCACTGCAAGCAAATGGATAATACGTAAACAATTTTGGGTTACATCTGAGGAGATCTTAAAGCTAAAGATTGCAAATAAATCTGAAGTTAAAACTTCTAAAGTAATAAAAGGTTTAAATATTGAGATTAATGAATACCATAAATCCCAATGGAAAACTTTCTATTTTAAAGTACCTACAGTTTATCAATTAGAAACTGGTATTGATTTTATGATTGAAAATAACTTTTGGCAGTTATATCATCCATTCATGGAAGAAATTGAATCTATAAGCTATACAATCAGTGGTAAAAGATTATGGATTCCAAAACAAAGAAAAGCTTTAGCTATGAATACTTTACATGAAAAATTCTTGAATACAATGAAACTTGATAATAAGAAGAATTTTAAAGAAATTCAAGGTGAAAATATAGCTCAAGAGAGGTATATTTTTATTACTAATGAAGAAAAACAAAGTTTTAGAATAAATTCTCAAAGAGGAAATTTTAAAACTCTTGGAAAAATGTTGTTCAGAAAATTCTTTAGACCCTCAAAAGAATAAAGGAAATATGATCTTGAAACTGGGTAGCGAACACAACAGGATCAAGGCCAAATTCTCTTCATCATATTTTACCTCCAACATCTCCAGATCTGTAACAATCTCCGTGAACACAGCAAGGTGTCCTACAGTGACCCTCCTTCCGCCATGAGATGGAAATACAGGTTCTGCTTTAGAGTCAACTTGCTCGTCAGACTCTTTATCATGCACAACTACTCCATCTTGAGCCACAAAACAGCCGCTGTCTTCTCTTTCAAGACATCCTATAGTATATTGTTGAACAAATAAAGATGAATCAATGATGTAGCCTTCCTATCCTTCCGTTGCTTCTCCTCCATAGACCAATTTGCTGGCATCTTCTCAAAGCCCAGCAAAGCATTATCAAGTTCCATCTGCGTCAACACAGCTCTCATCTTTACTTGCCACTGCAAAAACCTTGTATTGCAATCCAGCACCAGAATATCATACTTCATCGAAACCATCTCTGAAAACCTTAATCAAATCAAGAAGAATTTACAACCTTACTCTAATACCACTTGTTGGGACCGGTGACCAATAATGTAGGAATTGAGATTTAATTAACACCACTTGAAGTAATTAACGAGATCACAAAATACCACAAACAAGATTTAAAGCAAAGAAATAAAATAAGAACTCGCAAAAGGAACGATATTTTTATTCAATCACTATGAAAGGAGAGAATTACAGCAATTGACTTTTTAAATTTTAAAAAAAGAGTCTTATATTTATAGTACACAAGCCAAACCCTAGAAATTAGGTTAAATATGGAAACTAGATTAAAAATCACGTAAAAAGAAAAAATCACGCCGCAAGCCACAGATTTAACCATGCGACCGCATGGGTCAAACCCATGTGGCCACATGGAAGTGAAGACACAGCGGCTTAAATATTCTGCATGGCTAAGTGCGACAAGACGCTGCCAACTACCCATATTTCTCGGGCTTTTGTTTCCTTCTTCTTCTTGGATTCTAATTTATTCTTTCCAAGTTAAAGACCACCCTGATCCCCTTTCTTTTGTCTGCCACTTCCAAGTTTAATTCCAACACGTCATCTTCAAGAATTCTTAACCTAATTTTGAGTCACAAACACAACAGAATAAATAATATTTTGGTGGCTTGTGGTGAAATCCCCCTCCTCCCCGTTCTTCTTCTCTCTTCCTATTTTCTTCTTCTACCGTGGAATCTTCTTTTTTCCCCATTCTTTCCTTCAATTCCCCCTTTCCCATAGATCCATTCTAACATTCAATTAATTGCTCGAGTTGGTGCTACATCACATAGCCTCGGTTTGCAATCTTTAGAAATCGTAATTCACTCCGAATTCACTTTAACATATTTTTCTCTTAACATTGACTATCATAGCGATTGCATCGTTTCATCTTCTATTTTTCCTCTGCAATCTTACAAAATTTGGTAAAATCATCGGTGAATTAGTTTAGTTATCCTAACCGTTTTTCAACTGCAGCTACTGGACAAATCCTGACAAAATCAAAGAGATTGAACATCTCTGTCAGATGGAAAGTTCATTAAGGGAATCACTCAGTACAATTCACATGCAAAAGGTAATTGTTTGGTTCTTAGTGCAGAAAATAAAAAAGTCTTTTTGAAGTTTTCGGTTGTGATTGTTAATATGATTGTTTTGCATGGCATTATAAGCTACTGATTTTAATTTTTGGAAATTTTTCCTAATATTTGGAAGATAATAAATAATATCAATGTTTTCCGAGTGAAATATACTGCATACTGCCTGACCTAGTGTGGATAGAGGCCAAGGACTGATAATTTGCAGCATATGTTCGTGTTACTTGTTTGAACAGTTTGTTTGGATGTTGCCTGACCTTTTCTAACTGAAGTAACTGTCTAGACTTCATTTCAGCTGGGGAACTGAGGGAATGACCAACTTATGCCATTAGATTTCACCAGCCAGGTAAAGAAGCAATCTTCTAGTGGAGAACTCTGTCTCTATTTCTATCCTATTGTATTTTAGGTTTTTGTACGTGGTGACTTTGGTAGTGGATGGCAGTTTATAAAAAGTATATATTATTTGACTAATATCTGATGGACATGCATGACGAGCTGAACATGGGATGCATTTCCCCCTGATAACAGATGTTGATCAGGATGGCCAAACGCTGTCGTGGTTTCCAAATGCTGAGGCAACATATGATGCTACCAGATGAACCCCACATCTTGTCTTGCAGGTGAGTAGATTTCTGCATTCCTACAATTTTTTTAATAATTTGTCACCCATTTAAGATTAGGTGCAGTTGTGATTTTTGTAGTAGTTCATCAATTAGATTCATCTATTTTTTGTCAATGATAGCAGTTTGAATGTTGTTACCTTTTCGAATTACCCTTAAAAGTAATTCCAGTTTTGTGTTATTCACATGATCTGAGTTGCAAATGCAAGGTTTAGCAATCAACTTTACATTACATATCCAAGAACAACGATTGACAAGCATATGATTTTATACTACCAGTCTCAGATCAAACTAGGAAATTCAATTTGTTGCAAGGGATTTTATCTTCAAAAATTATGATATATATTATGTAAAAGCTCATGCAAGTATGATTTAACTATCTTGCTGAACTAGCATACTATGTGATACAATCTCTTTAATTCCTGTTCTTGCTCTGTAGAGATTTAGAGTGTTCCATAGATACATACCTTCCAAGCTATTCGGGTTTATTTGGTGTCAAGAAAGAAGCAGGCGACAATTCAAAATTTGTCGATATTGAACGACAAGACGGGATTACCATTAATGATTATACCAATAGTTATGCTCAAAAGAGACTACCTCTATGCGAGCAATATTCCTACCATTCATACGGCAATTTAAGTTTGCCAGAAATGATGGAGCCTGAAAGAGAGGTGAATTTTCAAGCGAGTTCCATGGATTATCAAATTAAGCCTGAAAGAGAGGTGAAGTTACAAGCGAGTACCATGGGTTATCAAATTAATGGCAATTTTGAATTGCCAAGATTCACTTACAATGATTTTGTTGGAAGAATTTTGTGAATAGTGACGCCGAAATAAGTATAATGATGGTGACAAAGCCGAGGCAAGAGTTGGAATCTTTGTCCTTAAGTCGAATTTGCTCTGCAACGGTGACTACGGATTTCGGCAATCGACTCCCAAGATACAATGGCTACACTTGTGTTTGTAGCACTCCAAAACACAAGTACAACGAACCAAATGTAGGCTTATGTACTCCACAGATGAAATGAAAGAAAATCAAAATAAATGAAATGATTTTGATTTTGGATAGAAGAGAGGATGAGAGACGTTTTTGCATATCAAATTGTGAGGAATAGGACACCCAAAGGGTCCTATTTATAGACCATGAAGGGGTGTGGACGAAATGGTTGAGGCCAAACCATGCACCCTTTTCAAACAATGCACCTTTATGAAAAGGTGTCTATTCACTAATGGTTGAGGTTTTTTTTTTCGTAATTTCTCATTCATCCGATATTGGTTTTCGAAATGCCAAATATACCCTTCAATACATGCAGAGAAATCAAAATTCTCTTTCGGGGGCGTTGCCCCCGACCCCCCACGAGGGGCGCTGCCCCCTCGACCCTCGCGACCTGACCGAGCAGGTCAATCCCCGTTTGTGCGCCCCGAAGCAGCGAAGTGGCAAACAATTTTGCCTAAACGGATTGAGTCGAGCTTTTGAGTATTTGGCCGAATTCGATACGAACTTTAATCGATTTTCAATTCTCAATTTATTTAACCAATATCCAACAGATTTTCAACATAGTTTGGTACTAACATCTGGGCCTTCTGTCCTGTTTAATGTTAATGATAACTCGTATCAACTGGTGAGTTTCCTTCTCAATTTATGTCATTTTGTTAGCAGAATTTTAATAAATAGTCCGCTTTTTCTTGTGTACTTCATGCCAAGAACATTACTTTTTTATAATCTTTTTTAAAATAATTAGCTCTTATTGTCTTGGCATAATATGTCCGGGGTGAAGAATGCCTATGAGAAATGATAAACCACGTCGTTTTGTTAACGTGCTAGAAATTGGATATTAGTAGTCTTGAGAAATCAAAGGCACATTATTAATAAAGTGGACATTTTTTCTGTCAAAATCCTGATTTAATTGCATAATTGTTCAATGATTCACTTTGTTTCCCTTGTAGATTGACATAAATGATTATTTTCACTTCACTTTTATACTATTCTTTAGCTTATCTTCCTCCATAGATTGACAAAAAGGGATGTCCATCCCTGAATACTGAATGCATACTATGGTGAATTGAGATAATATTGCTGCCCGTTGCTACAGTTTAATCAAATCTTTTCAAATAAGAAAGACATCCTGGGATTATATTAGTTTATTTATTTATCTTAGCTGGTATATTCAAAATGCTATAAAGCTACTACTTAATCTACATATCTGACTTGAAGTAATTTGTATTTTGCAGCCACCAAACCACTTGAACAACTAGCTGAAAGACTCGTTCTACGTCTCACACAAACGTGGTAGCACTTTTGCGAGTCGTTTCAAATTTTAATTTCGAAATTAAATTAATAATGTAGCTTGAGACACTGGCTCTGTGCCTTGCTCAATCGTTTCAGGTTAAGACATTTGCTGTACACTAAACGCATAGCAAGAAAATAAGAGATTTCTCCTTTGGAACAGCCGTTTTCTTTATGCAAGTTTTTTGTTCCGCCATCACTTTAAAATTATAGCGAACCAATGTTTGTGTAGTTAGTGAAACTGTTTATATTTGTGAATAATTCAGAGGAGACTATGCCATTTGAGTTCCCTGTACATTAAAGGCTCCTTGTTTACAAATACAGATCAAATCAGGGTCAATATTACATATAAGAAAGATGATATTTCATTTCATTTAATTTCATCTCCAATATGTAAAAATTAACCGCCGAATGTCTGGACAATTGTGTTGTGCCATGGGTCTGAGAGGTGCTGCAACAGGTTCTCAAATGGCCCCTTCCCAGTCACATTGTGCTGAACCACAAATCCCAAGAATGCCAACATTGCTAGTCTTCCTGCATGGTACACCACAGATTTTGTCACATTTGTGGGAAAAGAAGTGTCTAGTTCGAGTAGAGTGTTCTTATCTTACCGTTAGCAAGCTCTTTCTCCTTGGCCTCCTCAGTGGGGGCGAAGTTCAAGGGGTTGAAAATGCCACCAGGGTATCCAACTTCATTTGGAGGCAAGCTGTAGTTCTTGAAAATGGGATCTTGGTTAACACTTCCGGGATTCTTGATGTCTTGCCACCTTCTGATCTCAACGTAGTGAAACAAAATGAACTCGATCACCAAAAGGGTGGAGGACGAGGCAAAGTATTCTGATTTGCCAGCATCGTACCATTTGGGAACATTAATGATGCCAATGTTGGTGAAAACTTCAGGCAACAGCATCCCAGCAACACCCAACATTGCCCACCTGCTATTTACTAGCTCTGCCTGGACAAACCATTTCAAATTCTCTGGATCCTCAGCAAGTCCCAATGGATCAAATCCATTGTCACCTGGAAGACTGAAAAAGTAAACCCAAACCCAAGATTGATTAATTATCCTGAAAATGGATCTTAAATAATGTTCGATATACATTTTATCTTTTTTTTGTTCACTAATGTTATTCAGTATTATCAAATATAACGGTGTAGTCTAAACTTACTCTTATTTACACACTTAAGTGCCAAAGGTTTTAGTTAGATTCAAAGCTCACTGTATTAAAATTTATTCGAGAATCTTGAAATCACATCCATGACAGGAGATTAATAAATGCAACCAGATCGAGTCACATACCTGCCATCAAGATAAGTAGGAGAGGCCAACCCGGGTAGCCATTCGCCTTTCTTGGCTTCGACTTTGAATGAATTGTAGGACGAAGAAGTTGTGGGCTTAACCGACACTTCCCGGTTCAATTTTCCAGAGGATCCATTCAAAAACCGAGTTTTTGATGCGCATGGCCGGAAAGCGGCAATCGAAGCTTGTGTTGCAGCCATGTTTCCAAAGGTGTGAATATTGGTTTGAAATTGGATTCCAGGAAAATGAAGTAGATGAATTGTGCTAAAAATGTAGCTATTTTTGTATGCATTTGTACGTCTTTTTCAATGGCAATGTTGTGGTGCTGATTCCATATGAAATGGGAACTGATGATTTGGTAGATTTTTGGGATTCAAGGGCTGAGATTTGTTTGTGGATTTCAGATTAGCCAATGGGAATTGAACTCTCTTATCCTTATATCTTTTGCCATATCCACAAATCTATTTCTTTGCTGCTGTTGGCTTTATAAGATCATGTGGGACCCCTTTGATTGCCACGAAGAATGTACAAATTGGAAGATCTTACCCGTGTGAAATCTCTTTCCTCCAATCCATTCATGACAATTGTTACATCTGAAGTTTAATCTAGCAAAGGATATCTTGCTTGCAATAGTTGCCTATTTTTTAAGTACTAGACACGAAACGTTGCACGTTAGTTGGTGAACGTTAAATATAAGTGTATGATGGTTGTTGAATGGACATGCATAACAATTCTTAAAGAATCAGCCAAGCAGAAAATTTCTTCCAAACTTGCCATAGAAATATTAGGAATACAACTAAGTAGACAGAGATTTAAACTTGGGATTATATAAAAAAAGGGCTCTAAGATTTTCTGAGCCAATTTATGTAGCAAATGCTCTAAGATTGTAATAAGATGGTTGAATTTATTTCAAGCAGATATAGGTTTCATGAGGTACTTCATGATGAAAAAATCACAGAAAATCTACACTCTGATGATTGGAATTGAAACCGCCAACACCAGCTCTGTTGCCCATGTAAGATGGCAATGTAAATTGCATTTGGTTGATTGGCACAAAAATATTTGTAATAAAAGAGAGATTGAACATTACAGGAGGGAAAGAACCAGACAAACTTTTTTTTGCTTGGTCCAATGTATTCCAGTCTATTCAACTGTCTGAATTCATTTGGTATCCGCCCATTAAGCTTGTTGGAAGAAAACCTAAAAAAACCCTAAAGATGACGCGCTTCCAAAAGTACTCGGGATTTCACCCACAATACTATTTCATGGAGCTTGAATCAGCTGAAGCTTTGACAAAGATTCAAGTTCTGCTGGAATCTTTCCATAGAGATTATTTCACAAAGGATGAATCTCGACAAGATTAGAACAAGAAGACAGATTGGCAAGAATTTCTCCATCAAAAGAGTTATTCCTTAGCCATAAAAATCTTAATCTTCTCAACTTTACATGTTCTTAAGGAATGTTTCCCATAAAGCTGATGTTATCAAGAATAAGTTGATTAAGAAAAGTTAGATTTCCAATGTATGGGGACAGAGATCAGATCAGTTTCTAATGCTGCAAATTCAAGCTTGTAATTTTTTGGTGTCTTCTAGTGCAAACAACACCAGGCCAGTGGTAAGAATGTGCAGATTCGTCCCAAAAAATTAGGAAATTGAAGGGATCATCAGTTATTCTGTTCTTGAATTCAAGAAGTGCTAGCCTGTCTGCTGCATTTGCATTTTGTGAATTAACGAGCAAAGCATAAGAACAAATGGATGAGTAACGCTTTTTTCATTAAGGTAATTTGTTTAACTGAAAGGAGCCCTGCCAACTTCATCTAGGTATTGATTAAGGAGTGTAGTATACACTGGTTTCTTGGGGCCAGGCTAGTGAGAGTTGGTATGGCTTTTATTGGCATTATATAGGTGGATATGATGGCTTACTGGTCACATAACCCCATAAGACTGGCTTTTTCATAAGTAGTTAATACAATGATCTGTTTCGAGAATGGACAATATGATGGTCCATTTTCTCAGTTGGGTAACTCTAAAAGTCATCCATCATGTTCACAATAAGAGACTCCTAAGAAGTGATTTCCATTGTAATACTATCATTAGACGGAGTTGAATATAACTCACTCTTAAAATCGACTTGTACAATGATAGTGCCCAATGACAATACACTTGTAAACCCACAAAGACATGTCCCAAAGGCAATTTACACTCAAAATGTATCGTTTTTCTCAATATTCATATCCAAGAACATCACTGACAAGTAGAATGTAACATCATATTTGACATGATTGACAAGTAGAATGAAACCACCAGATTTGAAATCACGACAAATTGCATAACAGCAACTCCAATTCTAATACAAAGAACCACAATCCCCAATGCAAATGCCACCTTCATCTGAATCCTCATTCTCTCCACATCAATTATATAAGACCTAAGGCCGCATGATCCCCTATCCTTAATAGTCCTCAAAAGATAGTTTTCTTGCATATCAAGCACATAACTAACTATTCCAGACAACAAAATATCAATAAATCAAATCCCACAAGCACAAACATGATGGAAAACAACATGGTGGCAGTACATATCGCTATATCCAATTGTACTGACCATGTAAAAATACAAACTATCAACCACATTATGATCCCAGTGCCCTTCAAATTATCGCTATTAAAAGAATACATAACCACACCAAGAATCAAGCATGTGATCAAGAGTACAACAACTTGTCTTACAATTGACGTTTTTCCAAACTGGGGTGGCTTCGATACCAATTCATGGTGAAATTAATTGATGACAGCCATGGCTGGTTCAGTCCTGCACCTGTGGAAATTACTGTTGAGCACTGAATCGTTAGGATCAATCAACCAAGATTGCCGGTTTTCCATATCAAGATGGGATTTTTCAAATAAAATTTAATCAAAAGAAAGAAGTTAATACCTCAAAGCATCCTCAAGGTTAGTGTTTTCATGCACAAAAATGGGAGCAGTTGTCATAAGGTTGCCAACAACCTGCAAAACGGAAGCATCATTCACATGTAACTCGGACTAACAAAATTCAATTAAAGTCATGGTTCAAATTTAAAATGGAAAGTCAAACCTTTCGCCTTAGTATATCTTTTTTCTCGAGTTCCTTTCGTGTCTTCTTTTCATGAGGTTGAACCTCCCTTCCACTTTTAGCTTCATCGCTCTTCAATGAGTAATCCAAGGCCACGCTTAATGCTATAATCAAGAAAGTCTCAGTAATATACACAAAACAAGAACCCAAATAAAAGCTTAAAGTGTCAATTAGAACGATGAAACTTTTAACTAGTGAGTTATGTTCAAAAACAAAAACTTGATAAAACTTGATAAAAATTTGAATCCAAACTATTTAATGTCTTAACGCCCAATAAATGATAAAACCTTAACCACCCACATCAAGTATAATGCTATCAACCTATCGCTAAAAAATTGTTTTTGATGGATTTTGTTGAACAAAGTGGAAGAGAAAGACCAGAATTTGATATAGAAAAATGATCAGTACAAGGCAGCAAATGACCGGCTGCTATATGTATATTTTACATAGAGTTTTCAACCATACCATTAGTCAACAACTCCTACCAACTACCTTACTTGTTGACAGATTGAGCCATACTATGATAGATATTATAATCATCAAAAGTAACATTACATGATACTGATTTTACTACATATAATTTTTACAAAATATAACAACAAAAGTGACACACAACTATCAACACTCCTCTTGACACTTTTGTTGGAAACACCAAGACTTTTTCTCAATGTTTCAAACTTTCCTTTAGGCAGTGATTTAGTGAAAATATCAACATACTGGTCTTGAGAATTACAATGCATCAGCTGGACTTCTTTCCTATCTTGAGTCTCTCTTATTGAGTGATATTTGATCTTAATGTGCTTTGTCCTTCCATGGAACACCGGGTTTTTTACCATTGCCACGGCCAACTGATTATCACAGTAATTGGCTGTGACATTTTCTTGCTTGTGATGAAGATCCTCCAAGACTTTCCTAAGCCATATTGCTTGATTGGTTGCCTCTGAAGCTGCTATATACTCTGCTTCTGTAGTTGATTGTGCCACCGTTTTCTGTTTCATAGAACTCCAGCATACAATACTTGTTCCATCATAAAACACATAAACAGATGTGATCTTCATGTCATCAACTGAGCGAGCCCAATCACTATCTTTAAATCCGATTAGAGCCAAGTTTTCTGATTTTCTGAACCAAATTCCCAGTTCTTTAGTTCCCTTTACATATCTCAGTACCCTTTTTGCAGCTTGGAAGTGAAGTTCACTTGGTTCCTATCTGAATCTGGATAGGATATTGGCAGCAAAAATGAGATCTGGTCTGGTAGAAGTTAGGTACAGCAAGCATCCAACCATACTTCTATATATTTTTTCATCAATCCTCTTGGATCGATCATCTTTCATTTAGCTTCAAATTTTGCACTAAATGAGTACTTACTGACTTGCAATTCTCTATATTGAACTTCCTTAACATCTCCCTAATATACTTTCTTTGACAAACAAATATCTCATTTTGAATTTGAAATATTTCCATGCCAAGAAAGTAGTGCATTTCTGTCACACCCCCAAATTAATATTGATATATATACACAACCTATACATAAAATTTTGCATATATATATTTTTTTTGAGTTTGTTAACTTCTAATCACCTGTGACACGATCATATAATATATCGAAACCCAAAATCATATCGCCATAATCCAACATATATATTCAGAGCTTATAAACATGTCTACAGACCATTTCAAAAGTACACTATATAGGATTCCAAAATATAACCCTACTGATGGCAGCCTACAAAATAACCCTATAGGTCGTCATCCATGTACATCGAACTCTGGAATCCTGTAGGAGCTCCACAGCTAGCCATGCTCTCTGTGTAGTTTCATGTTCACCTACAATGCAAGAACTACATAAGCTAATGCTTAGTAAGCAAAATCATGCATGTCTTGAACATGAGTAATAACGACATATGATACCATACCATTTACTTTAAATATCGCAATAAAAAGTATCATATTTCAATATTCATCAAAGTCGACTAGAAATCATTTCACTTGAGATCTTTCATTTCATTGGGCCCTTGACCCACCCACTATGCACCGGATAGAGTTCTGCATAATATCAATATCAATAATCAAATGGTCAGTATAAAATCGACATCGACAAGTGGACCATCCTCTCATGACCACTAGAGGCCCATCCCTTGACTACCCCTATGATCACCCAAGAAGTCTCTCACCCGGCAGCGCCAATAATCATAATATCACAA